ATTCCAGATTTTCAAATAGTTGTATCCTATCCTAACAAACCATACATCAATGGAAAGCTTATTTATTCAGCTTTCAGATGATGTGTAGATCTCAATTTCGAAAGATTTACCCTTATGACTGGTTTTGTGGTCCTATTATTTTGGGGTCACATTTAATAACTAACTTTTGAACAGTTGCATGTTTATCTGTACACTTGATAATTACCAATAATGATAAAGTTGAATATTAATATTTCTAAACAATATTGCTTCATTTATTATGTTAGTCTATTTGGGTTAGTTTATACTAATTATAATTATATTTATATAAAGACAGTAGAAATATATGGTATGTCCTCATTTAGATGGCTAAGTGTGTGTGTGTGTGTGTGTGTGTGTGTGTGTGTGTGTGCGCGCGTGTAGACATTGTTCAGCCTGCTGCACCCTGGTTTATACAGAGGTAGTTATGAGTCAGATTTGAGATTAACTCACTACAGATAAAGCTGCCAGAATGTCATAAAGTTTAAAACACAATTCAACCTTTGAAATTGTAATCTACATGCTGTAAAACTGAAACAAGTACAAATCAAATTTTCTTCAGATTAAGGATTCCAAGTAACCAGCATAATAAAAAAGGGGGGCCATAATTCACACAAATGCACCAATGCATGCAAAGAATCAGTTTAGTTTTACAGCCATAATGACTTGATCTGGTGAATCAGAGTTATTAAGCAGAAGAATTTCTTCCTCACCCTTCACAAGCACCTCAGGGTCTTCATCCATTGTCATCTTGCTCTTCTGTGTGATGAGACTTCTCTTCTCCTCAGGAACTCCTGACAGACTGAACAACATGAAACACAACACAGACGTCAACAGTGTGCCTACTGTAACCCAGTAAGTACTGTACAACCCCCTCCCCTAGCCCCCAAAACACACACACACACACACACACATATATATATATGCACACCCATCCCTTGAGGGAAGTTGGGGTCAACATCACACTTCTGCTGCTAAAACAGACCCCAACATAGCACAAAACCACTTCACATATGCAGACATTTCACATCTCACACACAAACATAACGCACACACGCACATCCCTCCACCCTCCACCACCATGGCCAGGCAGGCAGAGCTTTATCGGTCTGGCAGCCAGGGAAAAGACTGAAAATAAACGTGACTAAGAGACGCCAAGGACACTCGCACGCAAAGAGAGAACTAGGAAGAGCTTAGGAGAACAAGAGTGGTCTAGAGGTACTGACAAGAAAATAGTTGTCAAATAGTCATCACTAAAGTTCACAGGGCCTGGGACAAAAATGTCATGGGTGGGTCCACATTCCCTCAGGGCTCAATAAATATGCACTATACTATAAAGGACCTTAGTAGGACACTCCTCATCATTTTAGACTTTCTTTGGGAATTTTTGCCCATTCATCCAGCAGAGCATTTGTGAGGTCAAGCACTTATGTTGGAGAAGGCCTTGCAATGTGTTCAATGGGGTTGAGGTCAGGGCTCACAGTCAAGTTCTTTCACACCAAACTCATCCAACCATGTTTTTATGGACCTTGCTTTGTGACCTAGGGCACAGTCATGCTGGAATAGAAAAGGCCTTCCCCAAACTCTTCCCACAAATTTGGAAGCATTGCTCAAAATATCTTGGTAGATTTTCCTTCACTTGAAGTTAGAAGCCTAGCCCCTGAAAAATAGCCCATTCCATTATCCCTCTTTCAACAAACTTTACAATTGTCAAAATGCTGTCAGACAGGGAACGTTTTCCTAGCGTCCATCATTAGACTGCCAGAGAAGCCAGATTTGTCACTTCACAGCACAAGTTTCCACTGCTCCAGAGTCCAGTGGTGGCGCGCTTTACACCACTCCATTTGACGCTTGGCATTGTACTAATTGATTTGAGGCTTGCATGCAGTTGCTCGGCCATGGAAACCAATTCCATGGGGCTCCCGCCGCACAGTTTTTGCGCAGGTATTATTGCCAGTAGAAGTTTGGTACTCCTCAGCTATCGAATCGCAACTTTTACGTGCCATGCGCCTCAGCGCTCTGTGACTTTACGTGGTCTTCTGCTTCACGGCTGAATTGCTGCTGTTCCTAAACACTTTCACTTTCCAATAATACCATTTACAGTTGGAATGTTCAGCAGGGATGAAATTTCACAAATTGCTGAGGTTGTTTCTTGCAAGAAACAACTCATGTCATCATCAACATGGATAAAAATCAAGGTGTCAGTGAATGGCTAATTGTACACCTGGACTAAAAGACTTGTTAAGAACAGAATAACAGCTTGTAATGAGCAGGTAAAAGATTAGTCAGAGGACGTCATTAGCTAACAAATGATAGATGTTTTGGGGAATGCTGGGAGCACAAGTACCTTGAAGTAGACAGTGATGGATGGATAATCACTCTGATAACATTGGCACACACTTCGGGCTGCAAAGGAGGAACTGAATGTGACAGTGTCGGTTAATCAAACGAGACATTCCCGAATCTCCTGTTATCTGAAGTCAGAACTTCATTTGGCACTAATTATCTGGACTTGCTAGTTTCTCACCCAAATTAGCCATTTGTTAAGTCAATTAAATGGAGAGTCCTCAAAACTCATTTCCTCATGCTGATGCTCTGGAAAAACATCATGGTTTGTAACCAGAGATCATGATCATTGACTGGCCCAGTGTCTCTAATGGAAGAGCCCGATCTCTCACACACACACACACACACACACACACACAATGTATGTGTACTTATATTAATATTTTGGACAATATCAATAAGCTTATTTTCATGATATGACCGATAACAAAATGCTGAACAAGCTAAATCAAGCAAACATCAACTGTTTTAAATGCTACATGTGAATTTAGGCATCACAACATTTTAATGTACAATATGTAAAATTGCTGTTCATTTTGAGTTTTGCTCAAGATTTAACTGTGTTATTAACTGTTATCGTTAAATGCTGACAAATGTCATTTAAATTTAAGAATACAATATGAATATGTACAATTAAATATCTGCTCTGCATTCTGGCTCCAGACTTTCTAAAGCTGTATTTTGAAGCCTGCCAATCTGGTCTAAGAGTATGTTGCCTCTTCATTGACCTCAGATACGATAGCGGTGTCTGAATATTTTTGTGTTCTTTGAATATCTTGAACCCTATCAGTGTTCTGTACATTTATTTACAGGTCTGTTTACAAGTGTATGCGTGTAATGGAGATGCAGTGGTAGATCCCTGTGGATTTGCATCACTCTCTAATTTAAGTTGAAGCTCAGACGGAGTCAAGAGTTTACAGACATCCATCAGAAAGAGAGAGAGAGAGAGAGAGAATGAGGGAAAGAGGCAGGCAGCACAAAAAGAGGAAGCCTCCGATCGCAGGAGCTGTGAGGGCTGGAATCAGCCAGTCAGAACCTGCCAGAACCGGTTCGTGGATCAGAGCAGAATCAAGATCAACAATCCGGTTTTAACAAAAAAACTTCTCTGTCCTGCAGGCATGAGAACAACCCTCATCCTAATCTAGACAGCATTAACACACACTGATAAAATGAGCCGAGGTCTATCTCTGCTAGAGGCCCCTGGAATGAGACCAGCGTGCAGATACGGACAAACATGCTCTGCTATATAGAGACTTTAGAGGGCAGTAAGATATCTTATGGATGGATATAGGGTATAAAAGTGGAGATGAGCTTTATGACTCATGTCTCGGGGGGCTAGAACTGTTTTACTATCTGTCTAGACTAAAAATGTTTTTTATAAATATGGAGTTGAGAGAGGTCTGTGATGGTGACCTAGAAGGACAGATATTTTGGTGCTAAACAGAAAAACCGGAGCAGCAGGCGATGACTGATCCAGGTCGGCGCACGCCTCATTTCACTTAAAGGCTATAGAGAGATATGAAACACTGACTCATCAGATTATCTCTTACCTCTGTTCAGGACATGACAGTACAGGAGCCTGTAATACTCAACACAGAGTGTGCACTACAAAATAGGAACTCACAATCCAAGGCCTGTTTCCAACAGCAAGCACATGCATCGGCACTGCAACATAACTCCAAAAGCAGACTCACAATATGCACTGGAAATGTTTTTGCTACATAAGAGCTGTGGCTTCATGTAGAAAATAAAGTGACTTCTGGGTTGTAGCTGAGAATTTAGTTATAGTGGAGAAGATAGATTGATAGATAGATACTAAACTGGTATACTGATTCAGTGCGAAGGCACTGATACCAGTTTAGTATACTAAACTGGTATACTTTAAAGGCTGTTAAATTGGAACAACTAATTTTCAATTCAAAAAGGTAGGATAGGGTGAAATTTTTCATCTCATTTTCATCTGCAACTTCAAAATCGCCCAACATCGTTGTTTTACCTTTTTTTGTAAAGGGCGCTTGACTGGTCTTTGTATGTTTGCTTTGTAAACACTGGGTTGGTGCTTCCGTCTACGTCACCACCACTTTCCAACGTGATTACGTAATGCGTGAGGTCGAGCTAGTGCAAGATGAGCATTTGTGGTTAAAAAGTATAGAATTATTTTTATTTTATTTTGTTTTTAGAAAATGACCGATCGTTTCGCTAGAGAAGACCCTTATTCCTCAGCTGGGATCGTGAGCCCTTTGAAGCTGCACTGAAACTGCAATTTGGACCTTCAATCCGTTGGTCCCTGTTGAATTCCACTATATGGAGAAAAATCCTGCAAAAATCCTTTTACTCAAAAACCTTAATTTCTTTTCAACTGAAGAAAGATCAGGAAATCAGTGGAAGTGAACTAAGCATTTAATGTTAAGAAATGTGCAAAGTTGTACTCCAAATAAAACGTTTAATTATAATTTTTCTATCAGTAAGTATCGAGTGATATGTCAGTAAATATGTTAATAGAATTGAACTATACTTGATACATAAATGTATTTTAAATATATTTCTTTTTAGAACCAGAGATAAAGCAATGGACAGATTAATAGATAGAACGACAGATGGGGAAAAACAATAGACAGATAACTTAAGATAAGAACTATACCATATCCAACTTAAGACGCCTACACACTAAATAATGGCTCTTGATAACAGAATGGTTTCTAATGAGGCTGAAGAACCTTTGTTAAAAGTGCAGGCATGAACGCAAAACCTTGTTATCTACCTTTTCTCTGGGAAAATAGTTAGTGGCTAAAGAAAGCAATAAGAAAGGCAGGAAGTGAGGGTTACAGTAGCTGGCCTTTGGCTGTCTAAACAGCGGTGCCCTTCTGAGTGAATGAACCACTCTAGATCAATATAAGCACCTTGGACCCCAGAAGCCAGATAACATGTAACACAATTATGTCGTCGATTACCTAATAATACCAACTCCCGATCAACATGAAGCAGGTCACGTCTCATTCAAAAGTATACGTATATACGCAATAGTGAACACACACACACACACACATGTGTCAGTGCAGTTATTGTGTGTCTGAACTTGAAATGCCACACCTACACGCGAAGGCACTGATAAAGCACAGGGTTTGGCGTGGTGTGACTGTTTGATCCATTATATAGGATAAGAGTGGTGCACCGTGATATCAGCATGGCATTAAGCCAAACCTTTGTGCTCTGACTCGACCATCCTGTCAGCTGAATGAGGGTGAAGAAACTAATACTTGCTCTATCCAAAAAGGCATGCAATGAATGAGCCGTTGCCATTCCGACTGAAAAGTCAGTGGTTTTAAACGATGATAATAATACCAACTCCCGATCAACATGAAGCAGGTCACGTCTCATTCAAAAGTATACGTATATACGCAATAGTGAACACACACACACACACACATGTGTCAGTGCAGTTATTGTGTGTCTGAA